CGATTTCCCATCAGCCCTCAAACCATGCTGAAATCACACTCTAGTTTAGTCTGTGTGCACGAGATCAGCCCTTCAAATATCACCAGCAGAAATCCTGTTTATTCACACATTTGTAACTGGATGATGTTTGGCCAGGTGTGTGAGTGTGAGTGTGTGCGTGAGTGTGTGCGTGAGTGTGTGCGTGCGTGTATGAGTGTGTGTGAGTGTGTGCGTGCGTGTATGAGTGTGAGTGTAAGTGTGTGTGTGAGAGAGTGTGTGTGTGTGTGTGTGTGACCTGGACAGACATAGCAGCAGCCGTCTCTGCTCCTGACAGGCGTGTGACACAGAACCGGAGGACACGCTTCAGAATCACACAACACTCTTCCCAGCCGACACGTACAGCTGGTGCACTCGTCCAGACGCCACGTCTCTCCCTCCACGAACAGCTCTCCTCCGGGAGCACGACACACCACCAGATCCAGACCCTCCGGCTGCCCGCTGCCCGACTCGTCTGCTTCACACACAGACAAACACCGAGTGAGGGCTTCATCCTGAGACTGAGATCAGTTACTCAAATCAAGATGCTTTTGCAGGTCAAGGTCAAGAGTGTGCAAAACCTCACAAAACCATCAAAACAGACCAGTGGAAACTAGTTTGGTCGGGCCAGCTTTAGGTTTTTTCATCAGGAAACACTAATACGATACATTTAGATGGTTCTGTATGTAAATAATGACTTTTGAAGAAATGTGATGAAGAACTGACTAAATAATCCAGTCCGTCTTTATCCACACAGAATCCGCTTTAGAGCAAGTGATGAAAAGATATCAGACATTAGAGTAGATTATCATGAATATCTACATTCACAAGGAATTTCTGTCTAACTTTCCAAGAAAATTCTCTAAACTTAACAAACCTTTTCTCGTACTTTAATGAGTTTATTCTCAACATTTTATCTCGATTTTTTTATCGCAATTTAACGACTTTATTCTCAACATTTATTTTATTAAGACTTTGTTCTCGAAATTTAACGAGTTTTTTCTTGAAATTTAACGACTTTAATCCTCTTCCGTAAAAAAAGAGTCTATTTTAGGATAATTTGGATTTGTTGCATTATGACCCTATTTTCATCACAATCACACATTTTCCTTCACATTTCTGTGGAAACCGTGACGCATTTTATTTTTCAGGATTCACAGATGAACAGAAAATTCAAAAGAACAGCATTTATTCGAAATAGAAATCTTCTGCGACATTATAAATGTCTTTACTGTCACTTGTCATCAATTTAATGCGTCCTTGATTAATAAAAGTATTAATTTCTATGTTTTTGAAATCACGGTTTCCACAAAAATATTGTGCAGCACGTTTTCAACATTGATAATAATCAGAAATGTTTCTTGAGCAGCAAATCAGCATATTAGAATGATTTCTGAAGATCATGTGACACTGAAGACTGGAGTAATGATGCTGAAAATACAGCTGCGCATCACAGAAATACATTATATATTAACAGAGATTCACATAGAAAACAGCTGTTTTAAATGATAATATTTCACTATTTTTACTGTGGTTTTGATGAAATAAACGCAGCCTCTGTGAATATCAGAGGCTCTTGTCAGTGTCGTACCCTCACAGCCGGGGCAGCACTGGTTTGGGTGGAGCACAGGGTGGGTGCAGGTGGGTACGGAGCAGGTGATCAGCACACACATCTCTCGGCCGGCGTGACAGAAACAGTCCCGGCAGCCGTCGTGCCATCCGTCTCCATCCTCGAAGCGCTGGCCGCTCGCCGTCAGACAGAAGCTGGAGGAGACGGTGATGGAGGCGCTGGTGCTGTCTGCATCTGAACACCACACAACATCAACATCAGCATCACAGCCATGAAGACATTCAGAAAAGAAGACCAGTAGAGATCATAAACGACAGCAAACATAGCAACAAGCTGACAAAACTGGTCCGTAAACCTCCCAAAAAATACATTTTGCATAAATAAAACCATACACCTTTTTAGGATTTTCATCACAACTTTCGTCATTTTGTAATGCATCTGAATGGTTTAATTTTATTTTCTTATAAAATGTGAGCCTGGAGCACATGCATAAATCTCAATTTGACAAAACTGACCCTTATGACTGGTTTTGTGCTCCAGGGTCACATTTGTTTGTAATTCTCAATGTTGAGACGGATCAGATTTTCATTGCTGTAATTTTTGACTCATTTATGGCAAAACAAAATACTGCAATACGATCAGCGGTATTTTAATATCATTGATATACTATTATAGTTTTAATTGTTTTGTTTTTATTTTCCATTTTCAATTGAATTTTAAAGTTTTTTTTTTAATTTTTTTTTTTATATGTCTATATAGTTCAATGAATTTTATTATTCTAGTTTTTATTAATATTTTATTAATGAATAATTAATATTTTTAATTTTTATTTTGATATTTTCATTTCGTGATTTGTATTAGCTTTTGTTTTCTTTTAATAGTCCATATGGTTTTTATTCCTTTTTATTATTATAGTTTTATTCATATTTCAAGTTAACTTTAATTTCGATATATTCCATTTTAGTGAATTATTATTTATAAACTGTAATTTTGTTGTGTTTTTGTCATTTTTATTAGATTTTTCAAATGTCTATTTAGTTTTTATTAATTTTTAGTTTTAGTTCAACTTTTTTCAACATTTTGCCTTTTTTATAAATTTGATTTCATTTATTTTATTCCAAGTTACGAAAATGTTGTTTATGGTTTTAGTTAAATGATGGCAACTCAGCATAAAGAATAAAACTACTAAACTAAAACGTATGATCATAATGATAACATCAGTCTAATATGATACGAGTATTAGTGTAATGTGAATATAATATCCCTGATTACAGTCTCCAGCTGAAATAACATCTTCTGAACGTCTGATATTTAGCCAATAATGAGTTTATAATTATGCTGTGGATAAACTGAACTGAATGAACCAGTTAAAGCAACACAAACACAACTGCTTTCCTGCGTCTGCGAGTGTTTGCTTCCTTTAAAAGTATTCCTTTTTATTATTATAGTTTTATTCATATTTCAACTTAACTTTAATTTCGATATATTCGATATAATTATGCTGTGGATAAACTGAACTGAATGAACCAGTTAAAGCAACACAAACACAACTGCTTTCCTGCGTCTGCGAGTGTTTGCTTCCTTTAAAAGTGTTTTAGTGAAGGTTTCATCTCTAAATATATTTAAGCTGTTTGCTGAAAACTGATCCAGATGTGTGAACGAACTAAAATACACTCCACAAACACACCAGATTCGCATGAAACTGAGCTGACAGAGTTAAAATAACCTTTAGTATCGAGTTTTTGTTAATATTTTGAATTAGGTTATTTTTATATTTTCTGTTTTCATTTTGATTTTAGTTGGTTTTAGTAATTTTGTTGTGTGTGTTGACATTTTTATATCAGTTTTTTTCAAAATAAACAGCGTCTTTAAATAATTTTAGAGTTTTAGTTCTATTAGCACATCAAGTTAAACTACATGAACTAGCTGAAATACATTTTTATTTCATCTCATTTAAAGTTTATTTTATTTCAAGTAATGAAAATGTTTTTTATGGTTTCTGATTTCATTTTGATTTAGTTAAAGTTTTAGTCATTTTGTCTTTTGTCGTCTTTAGCTTTTTAAATTTTATTTTTTAAATAATTTTAAATTTAATTCGTTTTCTATTAGCACATCAAATTAAACTAAATGAAGTAGCTGAAATACATTTTCATTTCAAACAAAATTTAATTTCATTTAAAGTTTATTTTATTTCAAGTAATGAAAATGTTTTTTATGGTTTCTGATTTCATTTTGATTTAGTTAAAGTTTTAGTAATTTTATCTTTTTTTGTCATCTTTAGTTTTTTAAATTTTATTTTTAAATAATTTTAAATTTAATTTTAGTACATCAAGTTAAACTAAATGAACTAGCTGATATAAAATGAAAAGTTTAAGTATTTTTATTTTTCAGTTAAAGTTTATTTCAAGCAAAGAAAATGTGTTTTTATGGCTTTATTTTTAGTTGTCATTATAATATATGCGTTGTTTTAGTATCACTGATATACTAATATAGTATAATACTAATACTACTAGTTACTATTAATATTTTTTATTTTTATATTTTCTGTTATATTTTTATATATTTTGTTGTGCATTTTATTCTTCTAAGTTTTTATTTTTTAAATGTTATTTTTAAATATTTTTTAGTTTAATTAGATTCATTATTTTAGTACATCAAGTTAAACTAAATAGCTGAAATAAAATAATTTGTAGTTTTTTTTCTCCATTTATTTTAATTCTTTTATTGATTTTATTTCAAGTAATGAAAATGTGTTTTCATGGTTTTAGATTTAGATAACTATAATAACCCTGATGATATATAAACGCATATTTAATGTTGGACATAAACCAGACTCGCCATGCATATTTTCCCACGTATAGACATTTATAAACTGCTTGTAGGAACATTCTGTACAGTGAGGCCTCAGATGAAATCTCATGACCTCTGACCTCTGCTCAAGCGGTCTCAAATCTCCTCGTGCGTCTGCGCAGTCACTCACCTTCACACTCGCAGACGCTGCAGCCCTTCCTGCTCTTTCTGAAGCCGCCGCCGCAGTGTTTGTCGCAGGTGAACGGCGGACAGCGGACGCAGCGGCACATCTCACAGCCGTGCTTGTTCCTCCTGTGAGGAGAAACCACACATAAACAACCGGCTCAACCAGCACTAACCAGCATAAACCTGCTGGTTAAGCTTCGAAAGCACAGCTCTTGATTCCTGCTTAATGCTCAGATGCACTTCAACTTCTGAGGACGGATGAAAGCACGTCTCGCGATACCTCGTAATAATGCAGGACACTTTTATGCGTATAACATCGTGATTCATTAAAGTTTCTGGTCGTTGGGAGCTGGTTTTTGTAGAGGCGCGATACACCGGATCCAGATGCTTAAACCGGTTTAATGGCCATCTGGTTCTGTTTTCCTCTGCAGAACATGAGCTTCAAGAGTCCAGATGTAAGCAGCACCAGAAACACGCTCACATCAGCGCTGAACATCATCTCTAGTGCCCTCAGTAGTGCACCACCAGTATGAGCTCACTAACTAGAGCCAGCATAATGCTGATCATATTTAATATTATAAATCAGCTATTTTAAATTATAAATAAATAATATCTAAATATAACATTAAATATTATAATAATAATTAATATTATTATATTTGGGTTAAAAATTACTAGGTTTATTTATGTTTAATGACAAATATATGTTTTATTGCATTATTTTTTTTATAAAATAAAATATTTAGTTTTTGTTATTAAAATTTTTAATTATTTTTATTATTAGTAGTAGTGAACCACTAGGTCACCTAATATCAATAATATTTAATTTACATAAAATGTTAAATAAATAAAATTTGATATACATTTGATATTTATAAATTTTATTTATATAAAATATAAAATTAATAATATTTAATATTATATACTATAATATTATTAAATAAATAAATAATACACAAATATAATAATTCATATTAGTATATTTAATATTAAATTTAGGGCAAATTACCAATTTCTAGGTTTATGTTAAAATGACAATAAAAGCTGAAAATAATATATTTCATATTTTATTACATAGAAATTATATCTTTACATAATAAAAATATATTTAATTTTTTTTTATTATTAAAAGTACTTATTTTTTATTTATTCACTTTAAATAACAATGAATAAATAAAATATTTACTTAATATTTTATACTTAATATTTTATTTATTCATTTTTTTACTACACAGTTATTCAAAATTATCACACAAAAATTAAAAACAAGTATTTATTATTCATTCACAGGAAGAGGAAACTACTATTTCTGTTATTTCTGGTCAGGAAGTAACAATTAACAGCTCATGATGATAATATTAATTGTTATATCGTCTATTATTAGCTTATAGAAGACTCTTAGCATCTTCACAAAGTCTCATAATTTGGGACTTTTAGTTGAATAATTATGCTCAGAAGTTTGTTAAAACCACTATCAGTATAAACAATAGTAATAGTGATGCTTGATTTAATAAACTACCATCATGTTTCATGTTTTACAATCAAATCAAGAGTGGACCCACCTACATAAATCCAGTTTCAGTCACAATGTGAAAGTCAAATCGGAGAAGATATCTGAAAGTCTGAAGGTTCAAACCGCACGAGTTGATTCATGAACGATCACCATTAGGGCTGCTAATGAATCATTAATGCGTGAGTAATAACAGCGTCGTCGTCATAGATCATTAATGAAACAGCCAGAGGTCACTATACTGTCTGTCAGTGTGTCTGTTGTTCATGAATACAGTACAGTAGTGGTTCACTGCTGAGACAGCATGCAGCACACAAACACAGAACCAGGTCTTTGAGTAAAGTTTTGAGTCAGGACGACTGCTGACTCCACACATACTTCTTTACGTCCTGTCAAATCCAATGGGGAAGCGATTTAAGACCCCTTTTGTCGACCAGTGTTGGGGAAAGTTACTTTTAAAAGTAATGCATTGCAATATTGCGTTACTCCATAAAAAAGTAACTAATTACGTTACTTAGTTACTTTTTATGGAAAGTAATGTGTTACGTTACTTTTGCGGTACTTTTTAAATCTGGACAGGGCTTGCTTGTTTGTTTTTAAAATAAAAAAGTTATATTTTTGGCAAATATAAAAGCCTTTTCACACCAAAAGTGAAATGAATAAGCCTCAGGCTGATGGGAAAGTAAATTTACGTCCGTACAGTAGAATGCAGAAGAAGAAATTTCAACACTTCAGCAATAAAAAAAGACACACAAACGTTTGTCTAGAGTCATTTGTGCTTATTATTATGGTTGAACTGGAACATCGAAGGTCAGAAGCAAAGACATTGGTTAATAGAATGGGATTAAATACATAAAGCATATTTGTGTTGTTTAACAATTAATTATTGCAGGTTTGTGTCATATTTTGAGTTTGCATTTTTACTGTTTTATTCTTTCATACACGCCAGTACAAATTGCTCTGATTACGTAACTCGCGTTAATTGTAATTCGTTACCCCCAACACTGCGTTCGACTGTATAAAATATCAATGTAAACAGCCTCGTCCACATCTCCGACAGGCAAAGTCAAACATCATTAGTGCCGACGTGAATAATCTTACTGAATTTACGTTTAGCATTCGCCAGCATTTTCAAATTTCTCAGCAACCGGAACCGAACATAGTAGCATCCAAAGCCGTATCTAAGGCCCTCACATTCTTACTATCCTCAATTAAATTTTGGATGCGTGTCTCTAGTTCTGAGATCTTCTCTGTCAGCCTAACCATTTCCCTGCATTTATCACATGTGAATCCCTCGCCGCTGACAGAGAAAGCTACACTATACATGTGGCAAGCGGTGCAAGTGACAATAACTGGAGAAGAAGCCATTACTCACTGTGATAGTTGAATGAATTCCGACTTACCACAATTGTTTCATGAACTCGTGAAAAAAACAGAGCGAGAAAGAAAAGAAATGGAGCGAGAGAGAAAAGAAACGGTAGGCGCGAATGACAAGCTAACAGGCTAACGGTATTTAGATTTCAACGGAATTTAACGGTTTAGATAAAAAACTTGTATTGCTGTATTGCTATTACTGCGTTTAACCCTTTGTCAACATTATTTTAACACCATTATGTTGTCACTTTCAACCCTGGGTTAAACAATATTTCTCACTCATACTTAGAGGTTAGCACTACATTTAACCCTGGGGTAACATTACTTTGACCCTGTGATGAAGTCAATTTTAACCATGGGCTAACATTATTTTAACCCTTTGATGAGGTTAATTTTACCCCATGTTAACATTAACCCTGTGCTGATGTTACTTTTAACTGGGTTAAATTTAGTTTAACCCTGTGAGAAGGTCACATTTAACCCTGGGCTAACATTATTTTGACCCTGAGATGAAGTCAATTTTAACCCTGGGTTAACATTATTTTAACCCTTTGATGAGGTTAATTTTACCCCTGGGTTAACATTTACCCTATGCGGATGTCACTATTAACCCTGGGTTAACATTAGCTTAATCCTGTGATGGGGCCATTTTTAACTCTGGGTTAACAGGGTTAAACATACATAACATTTTGGATTTCTTTTACACAAATGAAATATTGCAGAGAGTAGAGTGACATTAACAAAAATATTCATAATATTACACTTTTTATTTTAAATAATATTTAAATATATTTTCCCATTCACACTGTTGCTTTTTGTAACCCATCCCACCTGAATTAATAAGAATTAATAAGACGAATGATGAATTCTTAATAACTTTTAAAGTTTAGAACTACGCATACATGAAAACAAAGCGCTTTAGCAAATCATGCCACAAATTGTTCATGTGTTGCATTATATATTACATACTACTGCACCTAAAACAGACATACAAATGTGCATTTTATAGCTTTTACAGGTGCATCTCAATAAATTAGAATGTCGTGGAAAAGTTCATTTATTTCAGTAATTCAACTCAAATTGTGAAACCACTTTAAAAATTCCCTTATTTTGATGGTAATATGTAATTGGATTTAAAGTGCACAATGTGGTTATCTTAAATCATCACTATTGTAATCACATCAGGCCTGATTTGGACAAAATTAAGTGAACAAGAGCTAAGAAAACCTTTAATTATAAACACATTATCTCTAATGGCTTTCTGAACTTAAGGGGTTTGTTTCAACCAGCTGCAGATAATTTAGAAACAGAAGAGGGTCATCTTCATTCAAATGCTCATGATCTTTGGGTTTGTTTCCAGATCTTTGTTGCATCTGTTTATCTTACTAGCAATAAACGCTAGAATCAAACACACTCGGAGCAGAAGATGATCTCAACATGAGCCACTATAAACAGGGATTTCCTCCAGAGTGAGATGGAGAGACAGGGCTCAGAGGACTCAAACTTCTTCTGAAGTGATCCAGGAAACCCTCCGGCCCCCCTCAGGGAGCTCAGACACCGGGTTTCCAGTGAAAATCTATCTGCTCCATCCTCCACTGGGGGCTCGTGGTTCAGATACCAGCGGAATCACACCACATGCTCACATACAGACGCTTTTGTGTCAATGTGCATTTGATCATTGTGCTGAAATGAAGGGATGGTTTTGAAATGAAAGCACTGGCTCCTTATGAGGAGAGCAAAGCGCCCAGATGTTTGACCAGGGTTACGGATTACTGGGGGTCACGCTGTTTAACAATGAGTAAACATTAATTTAACCCTGTGATAAGGTCATTTTTAACCCTGGGTTAAACAATATTTTACACTTGCATTTAGACAGGACGTAGCATTGTAATTCGGGTTATCATTATTTTAATTCATTTTAATTTTAATTACTTTTTTCAAACTTCCATTTAGGCAGAGGTTAGCACTGTGTTTAACCATGGGTCAACATTGTTTTAACCCCATGATAATGTCACTTTTAACCCTGGGTTAACACTATTTTTACCCTGTGATATGGTCACTTTTAACCCTGGGTTATCATTATTTTAATCTAGTGAAGTCACTTTTAACCTTGGGTTAACATTATCTTAACCCTGTGATTAGGTCACTTTCAATGCTGGGTTAAACAATGTTTCACACTTCTATTTAGACGAAGGTTTGCATTGCTTTTAACCCTCCGTCAACATTATTTTAACCCCATGATGATGTCACTTTTAACCCTGTGTTAAACATAATTTCACACTTGTATTTAGACAAAGGTTAGCACTACATTTAACCCTGGATTAACACTATTTTAACCTTGTGCTGATGTCATTTTTAACCCTGGGTTAACACTATTTTAACTCAGTAATGAGGTCACTTTTAACCCTTGGTTAAAATTATTTTAGACCTTTGATGAGGTCAATTTTACTTTTAGTAGTTAACATTACTTTAACCCACTGCTAAGGTTACTTATAAACTAATTTAACCCTGTGATTAGGTCATTTGAACCCCGGGTTAAAACAATTTTAACCTATTAGCGTTCCACTATACCGCCCACGGAACACTGCGTGTTTTTGAGGGTTAACTTTGTGACGTACAACAACTCAAAAAAAGCTAAACATGTCACATCTTTGGAAAGCTGAGATTCTTGTGATTCGAATGATTCAAGCCATTTTAAAATACAATCAACACAGCAGGTACAATCAGTGTCTTTATCAGACTGCCAACAAGGCTTCATGCTGTGATCCCATTGTGTTTTCCAGCTAATAGCTCCCAGCTATAGTCAGCTGCAGCATCTGTTTACAAAAAAAAATGTAGGAGGAATGTTTTTTTCCTTTTTCAGTGTGTTCAAAGTTCTATTACTCAATATCAGTAAGACTTACAGTGATTCTGAGGTTTGTTCTGTTTAGGAACAAACCTCAGAGTGTCACCTTTCAAAAGAGACCAAAACCATGCATATACTCCAAATGATTCAAGAACAGCATGCAATTTACTTTGGGTATGCCTTTTTTTAGTCGTTTTAGGCAAGTTTTACAGGAATGCTAAAAGGTTAACTTTGTGCTGATGTTACTTTTAACCCTGGGTTAAACAAAGTTTTACACTTGTATTTAGACAGAGGTTAGCACTACCTTTTACCCTATTTTAATTCAGTGATTAGGTCACATTTAACTCTGGGTTAACTATTTTAGCCCTCCACTGACATCACTTTTTTACACTTAAGAGGTTAGTACCGCATTTAACCCTAGGTTAACAGTATTTTAACCCTAATATTACTTTAACCCTGGGTTAAATATATATATTTGAAATTTCACACTGAAAGAGCTAACAGCCTTTACTTCTGAGAGTTATTTAACCTTACCCTCTGCGAGTTAATTAGCAACAGCTAACTAATCATAACCTTACTCAATGCTTACCTCACGTGACAAGTTTATGAATACATGCAGAAATTATATTTCTTAGAATTAAGGACATTTGATTCTTAGATACTTAGATGTTACCGGTCATGAACAGATATAAACTTACATGTATCCATAAGGGCACGTCTTGCTGCAGGTCATGGGGCGGCATTTTGGTGCAGATACACTACATTCACACACTTCACAACCATAGTTGTCTTTCTCATAACCCAGGGGACACTCCAGAGAGCAGTACGTGGACACGTCAGGACAGGTTTCATCTGAAAAACACAGTCATTTACATACAAAAGATGATGAGTGAACAGTCAAACTTAGGTCAAACTAATTTGTATGTCATCCTCTATTTACACAGAGTTTAGCACTTTGTTTAACCCTGGGTCAACGTGATTTTAATCCAGGGTCAACATTAATTTAACCCCATGATGACATCAATTTTAACCCTGGGTTAAACAACATCTCACACGTTTATCAAGACAGAGATTAGCACTACATTTAACCCTGGGATAACACTATTTTAACCCTGCACTGAAGTCACTTTTAACCCCAAGTCAACATTATTTCAAGCCTATGATGACTTCCCTTTTAGCTCTGGGTTAACACTATTTTAACCCTGTGCTAAGGTCACTTTTAACTAGGGATGCACCGATACCGATACTGGTCTCCTGTACTCGTTAAAATGCCCCGATACCAAACGCCGATACCACACAGCATGTGATAAGCGCCATATTCAGACAAAGAAACACCGACAACAGAACAACAGACAGCAGAAAGGAGTTAAGGATGTCTACTACGAAGTATATGTATGCAATGAATATAATGTTAAACATTCAGTATTAACGCCTGTATAGCTGATGTGCGTGAGCCGATAAACAAAGCACGCTGAGTGGATTGAGCGCGCGGCGGTGCAGATGTTAATATTTTTTTACTAGTGGGTGCAGGACACTATAGTTCATTTATGTAAGTGAGGATAGCAAAATAAAGTAAACTGTGACAAATCATACCCAAAAATTCTTCACACAGTGGACTACCAGTAAAATTGATACAAATTTGGGTCCAAAAATTATTCAGACCGAGTCTGGGAAAAAACATTGAAGTTGAGGTTTGCATGAAACTGGGTGACAGCATGCCCAGGAGACTACAGGCTGTCATTGAGGCTAAGGGTTGCCCGACTAAGTATTCATAGTTGTGTAAATACTGTCATACTAACAGCTGTCTGAATTATTTTGGTTGATTGTAATCTATTACATACCTTTCTATCAAAGTTATCTAACATAAACTTGAAATCGCATCATATGACCCCTTTAACCCCATTATGACTTCACCTTTAAACAACATCTCACACTTCTGTTTAGACAGAGTTTAGCACTACATTTGGCCTTGGTTTAACACTATTTTAACCCTGTGCTGATGTCATATTTAACCCTAGGTTAACATTATTTTAACCCTGTCATTAGAGAACACAAAAAGTCGGCTAAAGTAAAAGCTGTTAAACGTGTGTACTTTTGTTTCATGCATATAACTTGCTAAATTCAAATCTAGTTATTTTTTGCAAAACTTTCGATGCTGCTAGTGGTGAAGAAACCCCAGACTCTTGCATGTTTTCTTAGAACTACACTTAATGATTCGGAGCAGTTCACAATCCCATGAGTTTCATGATGCCCAAACGTCCTACTGACCTCTGATACTGACTTCAATTCACATGGGAAAAACTTTCAGATTAATTTCAGTCGTGATGGTGCAGATTTGTGAGGTGGATTTGTGTCTGAGATCATTATTTCCTGGACACGCTCTGTATGTCCAGAGTCAGTGTTTGCTTGTGTTGCGGGCCGTTGGCACTTTCTCAAACACAGACCTGAGAGTATTTTGGAGCGGTTTGCACGCAACACAGTTCTCATGGGTTTGTATGTGTGTGCAGGGTTGGGCAAAGATACATCAAAATGTATTTTAAAATAAAATACCAAATACCTTCATTTTAAGTGTATCAGAAAAGTCAGTAGAAAGAAAAATTCAGTAGCCTAGGCTACTAAAACGAGCACAAACTTAACATGAACTGTTAAAAATTATAGCAATTTATGCAAAAAAATTGATGGAAAGCTGGCAGCCTGCACGTTTCTTACCTTGACCTAATTCTTCCATATGCATCAATTTTCTGTTCTGATCTCAACAAGTCTGGGCAAACTAGCCTATTGAGTAGCCACCCATCAGAGGCCGCATTTATGTCATGATGTCATCATGTAGACTTCTTACAAAGTATTTTACAGTATTTTAAAACTACAAAAATACAAAACACTAAAGTATTTTGATACAAAATATGAAGCCATTTTCATCAACCCTATCAAATACAAATTACAAAATACTATTTTGTATTTGAAATACGTATTTGAAATACATGTATCATAAATACTGCCCATCCCTGTGTGTGTGTGTGTGTGTTTGCACTCACCGCTGACACACTGGCACAGCAGACAGCCGCTAGGGTCTTGCTGGAAGCCGAATGGGCAGTCGTGCCCAGAGAGAGAGCAGTTTTCCAACGGTGGGCAGAGCAGCGGGCTCACCGTCTCATATGACGGCTCTAGAAGAGAATGTTAGTTAGTTCCTGTTTTTTTTTTCAGCAATATACATCGCTATCAGAAAGATGAAAAATAGGAAACATCTCAGAAAGCTAAAATCTGCAGACTGAAGTGCATGAAATATCTGCAGTTGGTTTATGGTTTACAAAGCACATTTTTATGCTCACCATGGCTGCATTTATTTGATCAAAAATACAATAAAAAACAGTAAAATTGTGAAATATTATTACAATTTAAAATAGCTGTTTTCTATGGTAACATATTGTAAATTGTAATTTATTCCTGTGATGCAAAGCTGAATTTTCAGCATCATTACTCCAGTCTTTTTCATATTTAAATTATTAAAAAATGGGCATTCCCACAAGGTTGTGTATTATATAAATTGTTTTTGAATTGAATTTTTAACAAAAATAACTATCATGATCCTAGCTAAAAAAAAAAAAGTTCTAATATGTCCATTATGTTATGAAAACTTTATTTCTGAATGTTCTCTGAATGTACAAAATGTTGTTTTTAAAACTTTTATTTCTTTTGTTATGCAAACATTAATGGAATGTTTAGCATTTTATCATTTTGCAAACATCGTTACGTTTGAATGTTCTCTGAACGTTCTGAAACAAGTAGTTACATTTAAAAATGTTAGACGAAGGGTCAACTACAATGTTTCCATGAACGATGTATAAATAACATTTTGAGAACATTATTAAAGACTCAATAACTCTGAACAAACATTCTATTAATGCTACTGGAAGAACGTTTGTTTACTTTAAAAGAACCTTTAAAACTTTAAAATAACTTTTTCAGAACATTCCCTGTTAGATACGTATTTGAAATACATGTATCATAAATACTGCCCATCCCTGTGTGTGTGTGTGTGTGTTTGCACTCACCGCTGACACACTGGCACAGCAGACAGCCGCTAGGGTCTTGCTGGAAGCCGAATGGGCAGTCGTGCCCAGAGAGAGAGCAGTTTTCCAACGGTGGGCAGAGCAGCGGGCTCACCGTCTCATATGACGGCTCTAGAAGAGAATGTTAGTTAGTTCCTGTTTTTTTTTTCAGCAATATACATCGCTATCAGAAAGATGAAAAATAGGAAACATCTCAGAAAGCTAAAATCTGCAGACTGAAGTGCATGAAATATCTGCAGTTGGTTTATGGTTTACAAAGCACATTTTTATGCTCACCATGGCTGCATTTATTTGATAAAAAATACAATAAAAACAGTAAAATTGTGAAATATTATTACAATTTAAAATAGCT